CAGGATGGATTCATGAATATCTCATATTTTAGGGTACAATATAATGTAGCATTAGTATTTTTGTTGTGGCTATTGCTAAATTGTTTCAGCTTTGGCCATGGGGAAACTCTCAATTATTTGATGTGGTTGCTTTTTTTGATTACTCTGCTAAAAAATTATAATGACCCAGATATTCCAGGGACTATTTTCCTCAGCTGACATGTATGACCAACACTGTGAGGAACTGAGTTCCATGACAGGTAACCATTAAGATTTCCCATGCTAGAGCAGAACCTCTCTTACCTACAGTTAGTTGTGCTCCCTAAGTAAGAGAAAAGATTTTGGTCTTAGGAATTATTCTCTTAAGACTGGTCTCTGGTGATTAATAGCCACACTCAATATTTTTTCAAAAAGGTACAATTATGAATTATTGGTGAGTAGTGTATTTGTAGAAACATTTTAAATGTTTTTTGAAATAAACTTGGTTTAACATCAGAACCAAATATTTGTGGGAGAGGGCGGAGAATTTTTCCATATGCTTTCTTAAGTAGTCCCTTCACAAAATAATCTCTGTAGAATTTTAGGGTGATGGAAATACTCTGCATGGTATTGCAGTGGTGGTTACATGAGTCAATACATTTGTCAAAACTTGCAGAATTTTACATCAAGAAGAGTAAGCCTTAATGTATGCAAACTAAAATCAATGTCAAGGGATCTTGAATGGAATACAGTCTATGACAAATGAATATAACTTTATTACAAATAATGTGTGACATAATCTCACTGAAATAAGTGGGAAAAAAAGAAGCTGAGTAACTGTCAAATGGTGTTTTGAAGGACACCAGCTGGTGTCCTAGCTGGTACATTTCTTTCTCCCAGTAATCCAGGTGAAATAATAATTCTCAACTTTCTTTACATACATGTCTCAGGCTAAATAAATAGGTAAATGAATGATGGTGTGAAGTAAGTTTCTTAGTGTTGAAGAAGGACATTATAGATAAGCAGGAGGGAAGCCTAGGTAAACCCTGTGGTACTGAATTAGTCTTGGAGTTACCAGTATGAACTCACAGCTTGCTGAGGAACACACAGAGAGAACACACACACACACACACACACACACACACACTCACACAGGTGAATTGATGTAGAGGTAATTATAGAAGTGCATATATGCATTAGTTAATGTATTGACAATTGTGCCATGGCCCTCTCCACTAAGAGCAGCTGGGAGTAATGACGTCCCAGTACCTGGATCTTGATTTCTAATACCATTCTCCAATAAAAGGAAATATTCTATTTCGGGGCAGGAAATATTATAAGATGAACCTGGAGCATCTTATAGTATCCAATAGCAAGGAAGTAGGTTGAGGATACATCTCAGACTCAGCTGTGATTTGAATTTGAGTCCAGACAAAAATTCATAAGCAACAAATTCTCAGCTAATATCATCCAGATCAATACATAGCTGAGGCTAGAAGTTCTGTCCCTACCCAGCATGTACTGTTTATATATATATATATATATATATTTTTTTTTTTTGGTTCATTGATGTTGTTTCTGTTTGTTCTCCTTAGAGGCTTACAATTCAATTTCAGGGGCTGGAGTTGTTAACATGACTGCCCTTTTTGTTTTTCCATATAGCTGACAGCAGTCAAGGTGAGACTATGGCCACCTTAATAGATGGAAGGTGACTCTTAAATGTCACAAAATAATCTTGACATGTGGGTTCTCAGTTCCTATTTTTAAGTTAACTAAATTACCATGCACCAAACAATGAAGCTATGTACTGCTGTTTGGTGGATTAATTTAGTTATAAGCTCTGATTGTGCCCCTATGCTGTAATGTCTTAGCTTAATGACTTTGAAATGTTAAAGTCTCTGAATTTAAGCTTCCTAGCTTCCATTTTATTTTATTTTTTAAGATTTATTTATTTATACAAGAACCAGGGTACAGGCCAGATGCGCGGGAGGGTGAGAGGATTCACCAGAGACAGAGTAAGGAGCAGAACAGGCAGACAGACTGAAATACACCACTGAGGGGAGCAGCAGGCGAGACAGGAGAGGTCTGCTGTGCCATGTGGGATTCATGCCAGCCGGCCGGGATCAAACCCGTGCTGCAGAGACTGCGGACAGCTTCACAGTGTGGCACTCAACTGCCCGCGCCACCAGGGAGGCCCCTAGCTTCCATTTTAATATTTTTATAAAGGACAATTGAGAAATTATACTTGAATGTACTTAATATTTTATGTTTCTAATTCCCAAAGATGGCTGCCTATATAATGGGGTTAGAGGTTAAGAGGCTACCAAAGCTAAGAGAGAAAAATAAACACTATACTTTGAAAAACTAGGATAGGAAATTTTCCAACCCTCTCTCAATGAAAACATCCTCAAAATCCTAGTTTTCCCCAGAACATAGCTTGAGACTATGCTAAATTCTTTGTGAACCTGGATTGTCATAAATCCATCTCTCACTATCCAGCATAGAAATATATATTAAGTGATCCATAAGACTATGCGAACTTAATCTAAACACCCCATCATCTTGTTAAAGAGGTTGAATTTGAGGCAAATTAAGGTAGCAATGTTCATAGAAGTTGACCACAGGATAGCTAAGGTCCAACCTATTGCAGATGTATTGCATTATGCTTTTGGCTTATATGGTGAAAAGAGTACTGCTGAAGGCCACTATTGAATTAACAGAATTCACCTAAATTTTTTTAAGTATTTATTTTTAAAGATTTATTTATTTATTTATACAAGCACTGGGTACAGTCAGAAGCGCGGGAGGGTGAGAGAATTCACCAGAGCCACAGCGGGGAACAGAACAGGCAGAAGGAGCGAAGTACACTGCTGAGGGGAGCAGCGGGCGGCAGGAGAGGTCAGCGCGCCATGTGCGACCCTCCTCCGGTGGCCGGGGAGCAGCCCGGGATTGAACTGGCGCTGCAGAGGCTGCGGGCAGCCTCGCAACCCAGCGCTCAACCGCTGCGCCACCAGGGAGGCCCTCACCTAAAATTTTTGGCCCACAGTAAGTCTCCGTTATATTTTTTCCATCTTTATTCTCTGTACCTGTCCTTTTAAGATACAGCTGCCAGAAGATGTCTTTTGGAAAGTATAGTTTTGCATCTGTCACATCTTTATACAGTTAAATTCTGTCCCTCATTAGGAGACAGTTCTGATACTGCATAAAAGCCATGAAGGCTTACACAGAACTGTCCTATAGAAATTCCATATTAAGATGAAACTAATTGATGAAATTTTAAATTTAAAGGAGCAATTTTGCCTGCTTGATAGTTATTAGCTTTGACCACTGTCTCATGGAAGGCAAATATATAGCATTGCTCTCTCCTACATGCTAATATCATCAATATTTGCATAAATTAAAGTAACAATTAGTTCCATTTTCTAGGACCTTCTTCATCAGCTTGGTTTCCACTATTAACTTTATTTGCAAATTAATTATTTGATTATGTATCTATCTGTCTTAATCAAGTCCATCCTCACTCTTTAGAGGAATTTTCGTCTTTCAAATGGCAAATTATTCAAGTAAATCTGGGGATTTACTCAATCCAATGCAAGTGGGTCTGGTTGCATCACTTTAAACGGAAACAGAAATGTGTGTGTGTGGGGGGTGTGTGATACACATAAAACAGGCAACTTGTAATAGGGATCTGATAGTATGTAATGGTGGGAGTTAAGTAGTCTTCATAAAGCTATTGTCTTGGCTTCAGATGTTAGAGCCTGAAGTCAGAAGAACATTCAGGAAGGAGAGATAGATGTGAAGTAGGGGAAGCAAGGATAGATTGGAATCCATGAGGAATATCTGGAACCTGTGTTCATCTTAAACTACCTCCAGATCTCCAATTTTGATGACCTAGTATCCTGCTAGAGAAGTGGGCACTCTTTTTATGGAGCTGGTGAAGCTAAAGATATGTAGGGGACTGATGTATCTGTGGGCCCAACTGATGGCTCACAATAACATAAGCCAGCAGATAAGTAATTATGTGCCCTGCCCCTACTTTCTAGCATAAACAAAGATGGCTACCACTTCACCTTTGCCTTCCAAATCTCTTTCCAAATACCTCTTGGCAATCTCAGAAACGTTTAGGGAACTCTGAAAATAGTTTCAATTCACAGTACATATCCTATCCCCTAACCCTCCTGTCATTCCCCAAGCTCCCTCTTACTTATCCACCCTAACCCACCACCTCCTATTTCCCCATCTGCCACCACCTACTCCCCTCCCCGTCTTCTATCAGACACCATCTATCCTACCCCCACCCTTCAGGCAGACCTGCTTCCAAACAGCAGTGAAAAAAGAACTGAGTAATTAAATCACTGTCACCATTTGTACTCACTGTCACCCATGTCACTAGAAATTACAAATGTTTTTTCAATGTTTTATGGATGTTGTCGCTAGGATACATCCCACCCAGTTGTACTGAGTTGCCCAAGCTTGAAATTCTAGTTTATAACTTACTTCTCTTTATGCCTGTTTTTAAGTCACAGCACTTGGTTTAGACTCATTGGATTCTTTTAACACCCTTACGATAGTTTCTGATAGCAGATATTGGTAGGGAAGGCCCCAGGCACTCAGGTCTGCAAGCAGTTATCCCTAACTTAGGAAGTGGGGATTTGGAACTTCAGTCAGGTTATTTTCTTATTCCAACCTCATAAATTTGTCAGCCTGCTTTTAAGGGGCCAGAAGAAATATTCATTTAAGGAGTATTATCAAAAGAAAGCCTTTGTCAGGCTATAGGCTGTTTTACTACATCCTCCTTGTCAACTTGTTTGCAAAGACGGGTGTGTTATATTTCACAAGGGTAGGGAGGAAGACAAGTCATCTACGTTGACATTCACTTACACAAGTAACAGATACAAAATAATTATTATTGAATGGCAATTGGGCATCTAGGACTCCATTTACATTAATTAAAAGAAGAGCATTTTAGCCTTTCATAAACAGGTGAAGAAATCTTTAAGCAACAAACGGATGTCTAATGGGATGTTTCTTCCAATAACACCAGCCATTTATAAGCATAAACAACTCTTTATTGCAACAATAAATTCTCAAAGTCAGGTCACATATATAATTTCAAATAGTATAAATTTATATATTGCTGGTTAGGATTGTATAGGAGTGTATTTTCCAAGAGGACTCCTGGAGGGTAATCCAGTATGCGTTCTTAGCCATGAAATTGAAAGACAATTCAAAGTACAATAACATTTGTATAAATTCCATTCTTACAAGCATCAATTGGCTCAAATTAATAAATATTAACATAGATTAGAAAAACTGGAAATCTGAATTTATTATGCAAAATCTTCTAATGTTTTTTGTTGGCCCGTTTTTTAAAAATATATTTATGTTAACTTCCAGATCTTGTTAGAAATTAAACTCTTGACCATTATTAAAAAAAATTAATTGTACACAACCACAAGTTAATTATTCTAGAAAGATGAATTACATTTTCAGGAATTATCTAACCACCTTTTCTTTCCTTTTGCTTTTCTGTGAGTCTGTGTGTATGCGTGCGCGTGTGTGCGTCCGTGTGTGTGTGTGTGTGTGTGTGTGTGTTATGAGTGTGTGTCAGCATCTAAAGAATAAAACCATTGTTTTGCTTTACTTTTAAAGAATAAACACATTTCTAAATTGAAGTCAGCTGAATAACTTCATAATAAACTGTTAAAGGTAAAACAAAAAGATGACAGTTTTCAGAGTGCCACGAAGAAGATAGATTCAATAAGGCTATTAACTTTTTCACCAGAAGTTGGAACCTTGAGAGGTCAACCATGAAAGAACAAAGGAAAAAGCATTAATAACAAAGCCAAGTGAGAGGTAAGGAAGGAGGGAGGAAAATTGTTAGAATGGAAGGGCAGGAAGTTAGAGGAAGGCGATGGAAGAGTTTGGGTTTTGGCAGCGGGGAGGGGCTGGATGTGGCAGACAGAAGATAAGGGCAAATTTGTTAAGCTGAATTTTAAATCTCAAGTCCAGTTCATAAGATGAAATGTAACTGGAGCAGGTATGAGGCTTTCAGGAAGGCAGGCACTGCACACGGTCTTGGTTCTCTTCCTCTTCGGTCTCGGACCTATCTGACTCATCCAAATCTGCATCTGCTCCTCCAGCTTGTGGAACTCCCCAGTGCTGGCGATGACCTCTCCGGTTCAGGTGACGCATGAGATACCAAAGCATGTGACTGTCCAGCAGGTTAGTTTGGTACAAAATATCTTCATCTCGCTCCCGTTTGTTTCTCTTAATCACATTCTTCAACTCAGTAAGCTCAAGGTTAGCTGTGGCGGTGGGGGCCCAGATCTTAGCATCATGGTCTAAGCCGCTTGTCGCCATCATAGGTAGGTATGGATGGGGCTCCACGCAGTTGACAGTACCTCCAGTGTCCGCCTCCATGAACTGAACAATCTGGCAGGATGATTTCTCCCACAGGAAGACGTGCCCGCAATCACTACCGCTCACCACAAACTCACTTTTGGGGCCATAGAAATTGACACCTTTGACTGTGGCATTATTTCTATGTCCTTTGTATCTTTTAATATACTGGGCACCATCACAGTGAGTGGCATTGAACAGGTAAATGTCGTCATCATTGTAACTGGCCAGAAGCTCGGTGCCGTCGTGGCTGTACACAAGGCAGGTGATGTTTGCTTTAGCATCACAGTTGAGCAGGTGATAAGGACAGAATTTCTTAAGTACGCCGTTGTTCACACTTCTATTAATCTTCCTCTGGTCATAAATTCTTACAAACTGATCTCTTCCACCCACTGCAAACTGGTAAGTGTTGGCAGGATTCACATGGATTGTATACAGTCCCACTCTATTTTCCTTGTCTCTTGTCACCACCACTTTTGAGACCGGCTGGCTTTGTCTCAGGTCAACGGTGAAGACGACGGCGTCTTCCCCTGAAGTAAGAAACTTCAGAGGGGTGTCTGGCACCAGTGCCAGCTTGTGTGAGGGCCCCAAGTGCTGGCCACGCACTTAGTTTGCCTGCAGTAAGGCAGAGCAGACAGCTCTGCGATTCTCACTTGCCCATCACGGGCACACATGGCCAGGATGGAATCACCTGAGTTGGGTAGGAATTTGGCCTGAAAGACATTATTTTTGTGTCCACTGTGAAAGTTCAGGATTGCTCGCCGACGCATCCAGTCCCAGACTATCACTCTAAGATCGTCGCTGCCACTGGCCAGCCAAGTGCCACGCTGGTTGAAGTGCAGACTATTGACACAGCCATTATGGCCTTCAAGCCCGTACTGCAGGTGGAAACGCTGCAGAAAGACCCTGGCCCCACAGGCCTCATGCACGAAGCGGGGACGTGACCCCAGCTGCCGATCTCGCAGAGCGTTAAGCACCCGCCAGCGAGCCGGTGGCAGGGCAGAGGTCTCGGAGACGACCCAGTCCTCCAGGGCCCGCTCCGCCTCAGATAAGGGCTGACTACGGTGGTTGGCCGCGGGGCGTGGTCCACGTACCTGAGGCGGATCTCGCACCTCCGCCCGCTCTCCTGCATTGTGGCGGCGCAGGTCCTCATTGTCGGCGAAGACACGGTCATTGGCCTCCGGGCTTTGAAACTCCATGGGTTCACTCGGTCTTTCTGCATAAACACCTCGCCTCTCTCGGCGGGAGTCTCGGCCGGCCCGCGTGGGGCCACCATCTTGTGCGCACCTCAGGCTCATTTCCTCGTGGGCTGCTAACGCCCGTCTGAGCGCCGCTTCAGGCCGCTCCTCGGGGCTACCGAACAGGCTTGGGTTCCCCAAGTCTGGCAGGTTGTCTGTGCGGCGCCGGTAGTCAGACATGTCGACCGATGCCGGTAGGAACTGCTCTGGAGTCTGGGAAAAGCCTGCAGACACGATCGAGCGTCTGGCTTCGGCGAGCGGATATGCTCGGATATGCTCTGGCGGGAAGTTCGAAGGACGGCCGGGGGGCGGGGCAGTATTCTTGCGAAACAATTTCGAGTATGGGAGCTGGTGAGGTTCAAACAACTTCATGCCATGTAGCCTCTCAGGGTGTTTTGTGTGCGCTTCGATTTATCTGGGGCTTTAAGGCTGCCCCCCTCCCCCCATCGCATACGGTCTGCGGATGTGCATGTATTTTTTTGAAAATTGAAACGTGCTTCGGCACAATCATTTTTATTATAGATCCTACAGCAAAAGTGATCCTCCTTAGGAAAAATGGTTTTCATAAGCTTCTCAGTGCTTCGCTTGAAGATTATACGTAGTATGAAATAAATAGGCAGAAACAATGAACAATTGCTAAGGTTCCCACAGCTGCCGAGTTCCTGACGTACAAGAAATATCTTTGGCAAACTGCACACTTGGAGAAACCTGGAGAGCTCTGACTGGTAGGAATGGCGCGGGGTTGACAAATGATAGACATGATCGATGTTCAGTTACTTTCATTTACGTAAAAATGAATACGTTTTTAGTATGAGTAGATCCCAAATATTGCATAAGACATCTGCTAAAAACTGTTCATTATTTATCTGAAATGTAGATTTAACTATGTGTCCTGTATTTTTATTTGTTCACTCTGGCGAGATTTCTTAGGGACAAAAGTGATTTAGTCCATCAGTGTAATGAAGGCCGAAATCAGCTGGTCAGTGTAAAGATAAAGGTGGCATGGATATTGAGCAACCACTTCACCAATTTGAGGTAGACACAATCTTTTGTCTTTCTTATTCTCCAGATGCTATACATTTATTTAGAGTCATTTCAGTTTAAAATAATTAGAGAATACACTTTTATTAAAAAAAAAAAAGTCTTCTGTGATATCACAGAACTAAGAAAGTATTTTATATATCTCCAAAATGTGTCACAGGCTTTTGGGTGGCTTTTAGGAAAGGAAAGCTCCCCACAGACAGTTAATTGGCATTTCTGTGTTAACTTCAAAGCTTCTACAAATGAATTATCTAAGGTGATGTCAGTAAATTTTCTAAGGGCTATAGCTAACTGCTGACTAAGAATGCTGGAATGAGGAAAGCAAGATTCTCCTCAGAGTAATTGCAAGATCAATGCAAAATTGATTAAACATTGTAGTATAAAGTCTTCTAAAGAGAGGGACTAGTTCCAAGGCTAATAGTAATGGATAGGCACATAAAAGAATATTCATAGAAATTGTAAAGATTAGCACAGCAACCTGAAACCCCATCAACAGTAACATGGGTAAATATATTAACACATATTCCTATAATGGAATAATGTACAAAAACTGAGGACTGATAAATTAAAATTACTCAGTATGAATAAATCATAGCATAATGATGAATAAGAATGCAAGTGACAGAATAGTAATTTTATTTTTATGTAGATTTTATGGTTTTCACATGTAATAAAACTATTTTTTCAACATTTATTTATTTATGCATACAAGAACTGGGGTATAGCCAGAGTTGCAGGGGGTGAGAGGATTCACCAGAGACAGAGCTGGCAACAGAACAGGCAGACTGACTGAAATACACTGCTGAGGGGAGCAGTGGGAGAGACAGGAGAGGTCTACTGTGCCATGTGGGTTGCTCCCTGGCCAGCGGGGCGGGGTGGGGCGGGGGGGGGGGGGGGGGGGGATGGAATCCGTGCTTCGGAGTCTGTGCATAGCTTCACAGTGCTGTGTTTAACCCCTTGCGCCACCAGGGAGGACTTGTAATAAAACTATTTTATAAGACAGAAATAGGGGCCTCCACAGTGGCGCAGCGGTTTGACCCGGGAAGATTGCCACATGGCACAGCAGAATTCTCCTGTCGCGCCTGCTGCTCCCCTCAGCAGTGTGTTTTGTCGGTCTGCCTGTTCTGTTCTTCGCTGTCTCTGTTGAATCCTCTGACCCTCCCGCGCCTCTGACCTGCACCCCAGTTCTTGTATAAATAAATAAAATCTTTTAAAAAAGACAAATAATTTAGTCAAAATGCACCATAATGATTACCTTTGGAGAAGAGGAGAAAGTTAAAATGTGGTAGAGAGGAAGCTTCAAAAATTATTAGTAATATTTGTAGTTTACCCTGGGTATAGGTATGCTATTATTCTTTTTATTATTTATTTTCTGGCATATACATCTCCATACCTTATTCTATGTATTATATGTCACATAGTAATATCTTAATGGAGATAATATTCATTAACAAGGGATCTTCCTCAACCAGGGAACACAAAAACAGGAAAACTAGAGCATTAAACCCTAGCATTCCCATCTTGACATTGTGCAGGGAAGGAGGACTTATTAATTGGTTTTAGATAGCTCTTACTGATGTCAAGAGACAGCTCCAGTGTTAGAGGCTAAATCCAGTTATTTTACACTAATGCTATTAGATCATCTGACTTTTTTCCTACATGCTCATTAAGCAAAACTTTGACTATGAATTGACTTTCCATATAAGTTGACTTTTAATTTAGTTGATCCATTTGGTGTAATTCTGTTCCCATTCAATCGTTCATTCATTTACCACAAATGTACTTAGAGTTTCTATGCAACATTTACTATTCTAGGTCCTGGTAATACAGTGGTGAATAAAAGCAGTAGCTCCTTCACTCATGGAGTATGTAATATAGTGGAGAGGGGGGCAATATCTAGATATAGCATTTGAAGCATTGATGAATATGATGGAGAGAAGTAGTCACATGTAGGTAGATACAGAAGTGGTTGCTTTAGGTAGTGCCTCTCCCTGAATGTACTGTCCTTCATGGGATGACATTTAAGTAGCAGGTTGAATGAAAAGAGAAATGGAGCTCACAAGTATCTAAAAAAATATTCTCTACAGGGCGTCCTTGGTGCTGTAGGGGTTAATTCTCAGTGCTGTTACTGCTATAGCCTGGGTTTGATCCCTGCTGGGTAGCTGAGCCACATGGTGCAGCAGGACTCTCCTGTCTGGCCCGCTGCTCCTCTCAGCAGTGTATCTCAGTAGATCTGCCTGTTCTGCTCCCAACTCTGTCTCTGGTGAATCATCCCTGCACCTCTGGCCTACACCCCAGTACTTCTACGCATAAATAAACAGATAAATTTTAAAAAGAAGAACATTTCCTATAGAGTGACATTGCTGCCAATGCTCTTAAAATAGTAGCACAATACATGTGTTCATGGAACTTCAAGAAAGCCTCTGTGACTAAAGCAGTGCAAGTAAGCATTAGAGAAAGTGGCAGTGGAGGATTAGAAGCAGCAGAGACCAACCAATCAGCTTTGTTGTCCATCATAAGGAAATTTAATGTTAATTTCATTCTATATGCCCTGGAAAGTATTCAGAAACATATGAGCTAGGAAATTGACACTATCTGACTTAGTTTTTTCAAAAGATGGCATTAACTGTTATGTGGAGAACAGAATGAGGTGGAGAAAGAGAGCAGAAGTACTGAACTATTGCTCTAGTCGAGAGGAGAAATTAAGGTGGATTAGCCTAGATTGAGGGTAGTGCAGGTGGTAAAAGTTGGTTAGGTTTGGGATCTATTTTGAAAGTAGAAATGATAGAATTCACTGATGAGGTGGGTATAAGTATGAGATGGATTATTCAGGCTACTGTTTATTGAAATGTAAATTGAAGCAGTTTAATAAGTGATTTTTTTTTCCAAAGTGATAGAATGTTGTAGGGAAATCTCAAGGGATAGATTAAAATCTCAACACCCTTATTAATAGGAAAATATTATATCCTTAGGCCGCAGGTATCAGACACCGGAGGCAGGAGAGGCAGTGTTGACAGAGTTACCTGAGAAGAGCCAGGATTAGCCACCCCTCAATGGACCCATAGGAAGGGAATCAGGAAAACAAATTCCCCAAATTCACCTGCTGGTGTTTTCCACCGAGTCATGTGAAAAAGGTAGGATTTTGTATCCTGTAACTTTACTGAATTTATTACTTCTTTTCTTTTAAAGATTTATTTATTTATACAAGTACTGGGTATAGTCAGAAGCAGAGGGTGAGCGAATTCACCAGAGCCAGAGCAGGGAACAGAATAGGCAGACTTGACGAAGTACACTGCTGAGGGGAGCAGCCGGCGGCAGGAGAGTTCTGCGCGCCATGTGGGACCCTCGCCGGTGGCCAGGGATCCAACCGGCGGCGCTACAGAGGCTGCGGGCAGCTTCACAGCCCAGCCCTAAATCACTGCACCACCAGGGGAGGCCCTGCTAAATTTATTATTTCTAACTGTGTGTGTAACTCTGTGTGTGTGTGTGTGTTTCAGAGTTTTCCATATATAAGATCATGCCACCTGCCAACAGATAATTTTACTTCTTTCCAATTAGGATACCTTTTATTGTTTTTGCCTGATTTCCGTCTAGGACTTTCATACTATCATGAGAGGAAGTTGTGAATGTGGTTATTCTTCTCTTTTTCCTGATCTCAGAGGAAAAAGTTCTCAGTTTTTACTGTTAAGTATGATGTTAGTTGTAGACTTTTAATAATGGCCTTTATTATGTTGAGGAAAATGTCCTCTATACTTGGCTTTTTAAGGTTTTTTTTTTATGTAATGAAAGGTATTGACTTTTGTCAAATGAGGTTTTTCTGGTATCAATTGTGATGATCATGTGATTGAAACCCTTTATTCTATTAATGTTATGTAATATATTGATTGATTTGCTTATGTTGAATTATCCTTGCATGCAGGCATGGATCCCACTTGATCATGGAGTGACAGACTTTTGATGTATTATTGAATTTGGTTTGCTAGTTTTTTTGTTGAGACTGATTTGCATCTATTTTATCAAGAATGCTGGCCTATGGTTTTCTTTTCTTGTGGTATTTTTGTCTAAATTTGGTATCAGGGTAATAACAAATCTCCAAAAAATTGTTTTCCTCTAACTAATTCAGATACTTGAAGATAGATGTGAAGTAGGATCCACTAAATTCCAAATTATTTTGCTAGCTGAGTATAATGGAGAGTTAGTGGCCAAAGGAACTTAGATTCTACATATTGAAATTATTATACTAACCTTGGGATTTAATTCTAAAAAAGGAATTAAGGAGGGCCTCCCCGGTGGCGCAGAGGGTTGAGTGCCACAATGTGAAGCTGTCCGCA